TACCCTGGGATGTCTTCTTTAAGAAATGGTATGGCTTTATGGGGTATTTGGATTATATAGCCTGGTAAAATACTCTAAAATGGGACATAGGCAGTGCGTAAAAAATTCAAAGTTTAAAAAAAAACTGGAATGGCTGTGTCCCAAATGTGCCCCTCCGATGTCCACACATACCTGGCAAAGGTACATACGAGGGTATTGCTGTACTCAGCCAACATAGCTGAGCAACATATGAAGTATTATACAGTCGTAGCACACATAAGGTTTGAAAAATATACTGTGCAAACTCACTTTGTATGTCAAAAAGGCAGAAAAAACACTTATTACCACTACATCTGGTACAAGCTAGCGGAAAAATGATCCCACGCTAAGGTTCAAAATATACCTTTTGAAACACCCTGGGATGTCTACTTTAAGAAATGGTAGGCCTTTGTGGGGTAGTTTGAATTTAAAACCTGCGAAAATGCTTGGAAATTGCACATAGGCCCAGCGTCAAAATTCAAAGTTCGGTAAAAACGGAAATGGCTTGGTCTCCTATATGGCACTGTAGCTTCACGAAATAGTGCCAAAGACATTCATTGGGGGTGTCTTTATGTTAAGGCACAATATGCACCTTATGAGATACCCTGGAGTATCTACTTTTACAAATGGTAGGCCTTTGTGGGTTTTTTTGAACAGTCAAACTGTTATAATATCCCAAATGGAAGCTAAGGCTCATTAAATCCATCTCTCAAAATTCTACTGTGAATACTGAAAAGGACAGGTCTCCTATATGGCACTGTAGCTTCACGAAATAGTGCTAAAGACATACAGTGGGGGTGTCCTTTTACTCAGAAGACTTAGCTGAGCATAATTTGGGAGGTTTGAACTTAGTGGCACATATTAAATATACAAAACGCACAGCAAAAATGCAATCCGTATGTAAAAAATGCACAAAATTATTTTTTACCACATACTTTGGCATATATTAGTGAAAAAATGGGGGCATGTTAAGGCACAATGTGCACCTTATGAGACACCCTGGATGGAAGCTACGGCTCATTAAATCCATCTCTCAAAATTCTACTGTGAATACTGAAAAGGACAGGTATCCTGTATGGCACTTTAACTTCACGAAATAGTGACAAAGACATACAATGGGGGTGTCATTTTACTCAGCAGATGTAACTGAACACAAAATAAAACTTTGTACAGGAATAGCACACACCAACTTTACAAAATATACATGAGAATTTCTTTGTTATAAGTTTGTGTGCCAAAAACCAAAAAAAACACAATTTTACTCCAATATTTAGCAGAGGTTGGCGGTGAAATGGCTACATAGAAAGTGTCAAACAACCTTAGGTAAATAGCCGTGATGTCTACTTTATATAAATATATACTTTTGTGTGGCAATTTTGTTTTCTTTTATGGCTATTAAGCTTACAAGACAAACATACCAAATTCTAAAATCGCTCCACATTAAAAGTCTATTTTACTCCTTGTGCTTTGTGACCTGTAACTACCAAAAAAACTTAAAATCCCAGACACATTATATATTCTGTAAATCAGAACAACTAAATTAATTTATTTTTAATTACTTTTCTAAACCTGCACTAATTATGCACACATTATTATTGCAAAAACTGTACAAAAAAAACACACAATTTTCATTTTTTTTACATTTTTCTGTATTTTTTTATAATAAAAAAGCATTTATATATATGTGTGTTACATAAAATTAAGGCCCTTTCTGTCCTTTAAAAAACGATGTATAATATCTGTTGGTGCAACAAATTAGTAAAATGCAAATTGCAGTTGAACGCAAACAGCAAAAAATGAAAAAAATGCTGTTGTCATTAAGTGAAAGACAAGCTTTTGAAGCTCTGTCCTTAAGGGGTTAAAGCAGGTTTTATGAGTAACAGGACTGAGAAAAAATATTTATGTTAAGATGGGCAATACAGTGGCCATCTGCTTTAAAATAAATGTTAAATATATGATACAGAAAGTTTGTGCCAAAGATAAATGGAATTCCCCCTTCTTCTCCTCTCTTCAGCGAAGAACCACTTTAAATTCTGTGTGGGAAGCAGTAATAGAAAATCCACTTTATGTTGTCTGCCTTTATATACCGGTGAATCCATGACAAGAGCTGTGATCGCAGTAAGAAATACTAACTGAATCTTCTCTTTCAGATATTGATGAATGTTTGGTAAATAACGGAGGTTGTGACCATTTCTGCCGCAATACGGTCGGAAGCTTTGAGTGCAGCTGTCAGAAAGGGTACAAGTTGCTGACCGACGAACGCACCTGTCAAGGTAATTTGGATAATATGTCACTGATCTTGCTCTATGTGGGAAATTAATATTGCACAAGGGAGTAAAGCTAAACTAGAAATTCCAGATTTTATTTGGTATTTTATTCGGGTTTCCTGACACCTGTTGGGTAATCTAAGGTTTTATATGTATGGAATATAGATTGAATAATATCTGATGATATTCATGCACACATAGAGCCTTCAGGGACCCTGTAGTTCTTTGTTTTAAGCAGTGATATAAACACTTACGAACGGCAGATGGCCAATAAACAGACTTTGCTAGAAAATATATACAAATTAAATAATACACACTATAAAATGTCAACAAGTCAATTAGTTTACTTGACAAGCCTAAGAGTCAACATTACACTTTGTCTCATCTATAATCTTATCAACAAAGGACAATAAAATCTATTACAAACTTCACAGCAATACCAGTATACAGAATTAATCATATGCCACCCCTTGCATTAATGATACAATTGTCATTATATTAATTAGTTAAATATCAACCAACCCTGCCAAGTATATACCATCAGTTTAACTACAGTACGTTTATATAAGGTTTCTGATAGCCTTAGTGTGTGTATATATATATATATATATTGAACTGATCTACGTCTAAAGAAGGAATCAAGAATGTTCCGACTTAGGAAGTTATATCTGACTCAGGCTGCAGGTAGAATGAGATATAACTGTTCTATCAATAGGGATCAGTTCACAATATAGACACGTAAGGCATTCAATAGTCCAGTTTATTTAATATAAAGTAAAGAGAAACCTTTATACATTACCAAGAGTCTAGGATGAATTAATTCAATTTGGGATTCTCCTCTCTGGGTGCTCTGGTCTGTAACTCAGTCTATTGCCCTTAGTCAGTCAATCTCCTCCTTTCTTAGCCCTCTGTTTTCTCCTTTGATCTTTTTAAAGATGATCTGAAGATAATGATTCTCTCTCTTATTTTTCTCCCTATTTAACCATTATTTCTCCCTTATCAGTTCCTGCCCCTTGTTTGTAAATGGGCGGTACCTGGGACTTAAATCTGGCTTTTGATTGGTTATGGGCGTATCTTAATATTTAATTATTAATGTGGCCCTTAGGGACTTTCATCAATAGATGGCACTATTTCCCTAGGTATGAAGACCTGAACTAGATCATTGATGACCTGGTTAAATAAATGAATTGACCTTTAATTCACCTATACTGGGGATATTTCAAATTACGTTAAATATCTGTCTTTGGTTATATATATTCTTTAATTGAAACAGGGTTGGTTATATTAATCATCATGCAATATATCTATATCCTGTATAAATCTAACCTGTATGATTAACTGATTGATACATTCATCTTTACAAAGAAAAATAGAATCTAATTATATTAGTATATCTATATTACCTTTTACCCCTAAATCAGTCAAGGATGCAGTTATAGACATTACTGTAGCAATCACACATTTAGTTTACATTTGTATATCATGCATGATTCCAACAGATTCATTAAGTTCTAATATCCTGAAAATATGGAAGTGACCTCAGACTTTGGGTTCGTATGGCTGTCAAACACTCTGTATTGCCTGTGATGTTTATGCACAAACAATTGCATAGTTTGTACACCCCTTTGAAGCTCTGTGAGTTTAAGTATCTCAGATTGTAAAGTCCCATTGAGTAATAAACCATTGTTCTTGTTACCCTGTACACAGATAGCTCACAAATTAAACTGTAGATACGTATTCCTCCTGTTTACTTCTTAAGGTTACAAAATACAAAGTTCCTTTGACCTGTGTTGAAACAGCATTACGAAATGTCCAGGCCATTTTTCCAGCATCCATATTGTTTTCTTTTAATATTAAAAATTATGGGTCACCAATTAGCACAACAGGAAAGAACAACTGCACCGCATCAAAGGGACAATGGACGGGGCTGTGTACCGTCAAATCCTCAGCCAGGACATTGAAAATGGGTCGTGGATGGGTATTCCAGCATGACAATGACCCAAAATACAAAGCAACAAAGGAATGGCTCAAGAAGAAGCACATTAAGGTCCTGGAGTGGCCTAGCCAGTCTCCAGACCTTAATCCCATAGAAAATCTGTGGAGGGAGCTGAAGGTTCAAGTTGCCAAACGTCAGCCTCAAACCTTAATAACTTGGAGAGTATCTGCAAAGAGGAATGGGACAAAATCCCTCGTGAGATGTGTGCAAACCAGGTGGCCAACTACAAGAAACGTCTGATCTCTGTGATTGCCAACAAGGGTTTTGTCACCAAGTACTAAGTCGAAAGGGGTCAAATGTAAAGGCTGTTTAGCCTATAGTTGTGGGAGGGATTAATCTGGCCAATACGTATCCGTACCTGCATGGAGGGAGTGAGGTCCTCGTACGGTAGCATTGATCTCTCCCACCACTATGTTAACAAACCATTAATTACATACTAGTTTTTTCACTAGGTGAACCCTCTATTTCACAAGCTCATCCCCATCTGGGTTCTGGCACACAGCAACGGAATTTCCAAAGAAAGTACCTTGAGAAAGGTACGTTTATTTTCAAAACAGTTTAATGAATGAGGAATCATAGATTGGTTGGGAGTGTCAGCTGACCGCTCTCAACCAACCAGCGGCAAACCTGCCTGGCCACACTCCACTCATCCTGTAAGTGAAAGTACTGTAGCTGGATGCAACAAGGGGAGGAGTGGAGATCATCCTCAAATGGAGTAAGAGGGCCTCCAGGGGCCTCCTGGCACCATAGCAACTTCTGTTTTAATGTACGGATCATGCTCCAGGCCCCCGCTGCTAGACCAATCTTTTACTATAATATTTGGAAAAAACAATAATAAATATTTTTTCCCCCTACTTTTTTCTTTATTTTTCATACTATAGAGACCCTCTCTTTAATGTTGGAAGGAACTGTCAATGCAAAAAGTTTCCAAATGAAAATAAGCTTGTCATCTTTCATTTCCTAACAGGAAATGCGTGGTTTCGAAGTTTAAACTGAATTTCTGCAACTTGAAAATGTGACCGCATTCCACGTTATACACCTGCTATACCAACATCCTATAAGAAATATAATTCAATGATGAAATGGGTCACCGTGACAGTCCTTGCATATTTTCTTCGAGGTAAGTTCAATTTCACTGTGAAGTATGGATGTTACAGATTTTGCATCTGGCTCTATTTAAACAGAAAAAAAACCTAAACATGATTTTTTGGGTTATTAGGTATTTTGTGTCGTGAATCCTGTGGAGATAAAAAGACAATTTTTGGTGCTGTGGGAAGAGAAGTTATTCTACCCATGAGCCAGACTGCAACCAGAGACATCACTTGGATGACTGTTAGAAGTAAAGACCATTTCGCTACAACAAACCCAGGAGAAATAGACGTTCGAGATTACCGGTATGAAGGCAGACTGTCTGCAACGGCCAATGGTTCTTTAAGATTTACCAACCTCACCGGTGACGACCAAGGAGAATATATTGCAAATATACTCAAAGGAAACATGCAATGTAAACAAGTCTACAGTATCCAATTGAGTAAGTTTCTGTAATTCATGAACCCCATTCACTACCAAGCATGTTTTGCATGAAAAAAAACATATTAACAAAAAAAAAAAAAATTGAAATAAGGGATGCATAACTAGCATATAATGCAACACCAATTCTGTGTATAGATTGCATTTCAGGCAAATTTAAAATGTAAATGATATGCATTTATAAATGTTTCTTTATTTGTTCATTTTTTATAGACTATTTTGATGAATGAAAACCTTTAGACAGTATACGGCAGAGATAGGCAGCCTTCGGCACTCCAGATGTTGTGAACTACATCTCCCCTGATGCTTTACCAGCATTATGGAGTGCCAAACGGTGCCTATCACTAATATACAGTGCTTTGTATCTTGCAAAGTTTTACAGTGAAATGTAGTAAAAAAGCAGAAATACAATTTGTAGAAATACAGCATGTGTGACAGAAATAGATGAATAAAAATGGTCAAACAGTTTACAGGCATTTGTAATGATCCTGACTGCATTACTTGTAGCTCCATATCTTCCAAGTGTCCCTATTTAGGAGCGACAGTCCCTATTTTGGGCCCATGTTTTCAATGTTCCTTTTTTCTATCCTAATGTCCCTTTTTTATAGGAGCTCAGTATTATTTATATTTAATAGAATTTGTCTACTACCCCCCATACCTTCCATGTGTCTCATTCCCCCCTCCCCCTCCCACCCCTCCATGCATCTCATTCTCCCCCCAGTCCATCTATGTGTCTCATTCTTCTCTGCTGTCCCTCCATGTGTCTCACCTCCCCATGTGTCTCATTCTCTACTCCAGCTCCTCCATGTGTCTCATTCCCCCATATTCCCCACAGCTCCTCCGTGTGTCTCATCCCCCCCAGCCTCTCCATGTGTCTCATACACCTCTCCTCTCCAGGTGTCTAATTCCCTCCACTCCCCAGCCTTTCTTTGTGTCTCATTCCATCCCCCTCAGCCATTCCATGTGTCTAATTCCATCCCCTCCAGCCCCTCACGTGTCTCATTCCCTCTCCCAGCACCTCCATGTGTCTCAGTCCATCCCCCAGCCCCTCCATCTGTCTCCTTGTACCCATTACCCTTAATTTGACTTATTGTCCCCAGCCCCCCATATATCTCACTGTGCCAAGCCTACATCATGTGTCCCGTTGCCCCCAGACCCTTGTGTGATGGCATTAGACCCTTGGGGTGTTGAAGGGATGTAGTAAGACACATGGGGGCTAAGGGATGGAACACCTCAGGAAAGGATTAAGATACCTGTGGGGGTGGAATTAGACACATGGAGGTACTGGGGGGGGGGGATGGAATGAAACACTTGAAGGGGCTGAGAGGGAGGGAATGAGATACAAATAGGGTGTTGTAGGGGCTGGAATTAGATACATGGAGGGACTGGGGGAATGAAATGAGTAACATCACGGGTCTGGGGAGGGGAGTGAATTAGACACATGGGGATGAAATTACACACGTGGAGGGGAAAGAATGAGACACATGTGGAGATGGAGGGGAGACAAATGGGGAATGAGACACATGTAGGGGCTGAGAAGAGCTGAGTGGGAAAGAATTAGTCCCATGGGGGGGATGGCATTAGACACATGGAAGGGCTGGAGGAGAATTAGACACATGGAGGGGCTCTGGGGGGGGGAATGGAAACATGTGGGGGTGCAGGGCAATTTTTAGACCAGCGCCTGGTAATTTCTAGCTACTCCCTTTGATGCTGGTCCTTGGTCGCAGGTGTCGCAACCCTTGTGCCCATGGTAGGTACACCACTGTGTATGAGGATATTTTTCTTTTTATGCTAATGCAATAAATTACAGTTCTGTTAAAGTTTATGTTCGGCATTAACTATTTTAGGTGGGTGTCTGTCATATTTTTCTTGAGAGCAATGTATTCTCTTTTTCCCAGCTTTGTAAGTTTCCTTCAAGTTTGGAGGGGATTTATGAAGGGTTGCTCACCTCAGGTTCGTTAATTATAGTTTCATAGACGGTAACCTTAATTACTACCCTTATACTGTGCCTATTGCGTTAGGTGCATATTCAGTTTTCATACTTCATAGGTGCTCTGTTATCACTCAGGTCCTCCTTCCTTGCTGCATTATTTTGGGTACAAATCCCCATGTCCCTCTTTTCCCAAGGATAGCCACTGGAGCCAGTTGAACGATGCCTCATGGTAGTTCCGTGAGCATCCCGCCGCAGGCAAGATTAGCTCTTCTATACGTCTTATGTCTTCCACCCTGTTCATCCACTCTCTCAGCTGTTGTTTTTTTTCCATTGTCCTGGGATAAGGCTGGGGGCTGCGTTCAGTAGGTGCAGTATGGCTGTTTTTTTCAGTTTGTGTGTTGGTAGAGTGGTTAGTTGGAGTAGGTACGTTTCCAGTGTGAGTTGAAGGTTTATGTCTGTGATGGACGTTAGGACCTTATGTATCTCCTCACCGCAACGGTTGTCATGGGCCCGGCGGTCCTGGGGGGCCCGGACTGCTCAGGTCGTCCGGGCCCCAGATTCAGTGTGTACATACCGGGTCGCAGGGTGCCCTGCGATCCGGTATGTACCCACAGGGCCAGCCTCTTATCCTGGGGGGCCCAGCAGCCGGTCACCTCAGGGCCCCCCCAGAGGCTGGCCCTGAAAGCCGGCTGGCGCGCGAGGGAGCACTCTCTGTGTGCTTCCTCTTCAGCTCCCTCGCACACCGTACTGATGCCGGAGCCGGAAGATGATGTCATCTTCCGGCTCCGGCATCAGTACGGTGCGCGAGGGAGCTGAAGAGGAAGCACACAGAGAGTGCTCCCTCGCGCGCCCACCGGGGTGTGTGGGGGGGGAGGAGGAGGAACTGGGAGGGGAATTGAAAATGGGAGGGGGAGGAGTTAAATGGGGAGGGGAGGGGGGAGTGAAAATGAAATTTGAGGAGGGGGGAAGGAACGAAATGGAGGGGAATGAAATTTGAGGGGGGGGAAGAAATGAAATTTGAGGGGGGGACAGGAATGAAATTTGAGGGGGAGGGGGACAGGAATGAAATTTGAGGAGGGAAGAATCGAAATTTATGGAAGGGGGGAAGGAAATGAAATTTATGGAAGGGGAAGGAATGAAATTTGGAGGGGGTGGGGAGAGGAATTCAAATTTGAGGGAGGGGGGGAAATGAATCTCAAATTTGGAGGGAGGGGGAGAGGAAGGAAATTTGAGGGGATGGAGGGAAAGGAATTAAATTTGAGGGAGGGGGGGAGAGGAAGGAAATTTGAGGGAGGGAGAGAGGAAGGAAATTTGAGGGACGGGGGAGAGGAAGGAAATTTGAGGGACGGGGGAGAGGAAGGAAATTTGAGGGACGGGGAGAGGAAGGAAATTGGAGGGGAGAGGAGGAGGGGAAGGAAATTTGAGGGACGGGGCAGGGGAAAGAAATTTGAGGGACGGGGAGAGGAAGGAAATTGGAGGGGGGAGAGAGGAAATGAGGGGGGAAGAAGGAAATTGGAGGGGGAGGGAGGGGGAGAAGGAAATTGACGGGGGGAGGGGGAGAGATTGACATCCATCACACACAATGCACACCTTGCACACAGAAAAACACACAATGCATTACACACAGACACACGTACACAAGCAATGCATCCCTTACACACAGCAACACACAATGCACCCCTTACACACACTCAATGCATCCCTTACAGACGCACACACTGCATCCCATACATACACAAACTCATCTTGCAGCCCTTACACATACAAACACAGATTCACACAATGCATGCCTTACACACATCAGGACATCCCCCACACACACACTCCACTCCCTGTGAACAAACTCATTGGTGGAACATGAAGGTGGACCCTGGGACCCAGACCTTGAGCTGTGTAAAGGGCCCTCAAAAAAATGGAGCTGCTTCCCGTTCTCCCAGAACAGTGATTTTTGTGACCAGTTACAAACCGCCTCCAGAGAGCCTGTTGTACACCAGACCAGTGGAGCCAGACGGCAGCTAGAGCCCATCATCATCCTCATCTGGTTGTAAGTAGGCAATCTAGTATATTATTCGTGGCACTAATCTCTAATTTACCTCACATTAAAGGGACACTATCTCAAATCTTGGGAGAGAACGTCCTTCCCTCAGCCAGAGCATGGGTATTTCAGCATCACAATGACCCAAAACATACAGTATAGGCAATAAAGGAGTGGCCCAAGAAGAAGCACATTAAGGTCCTCGCGTGGCCTAGCCAGTCTCCAGACCTTAATCCCATAGAAAATCTGTGGAGGGAGCTGAAGGTTCGAGTTGCCAAACGTCAGCCTCAAAACCTTAAAGACTTGGAGAGGATCTGCAAAGAGGAGTGGGACAAAATTCCTTGTGAGATGTGTGCAAACTTGGTGGCCAACTGCAACAAACATCTGACCTCTGTGATTGACAACAAGGGTTTTGCCACCAAGTACTAATTTTAAGGGGTCAAATACTTATTTCACTCATTGACATGCAAATCAATTTCTATCTTTTTTTGACATATGTTTTTCTGTTTTTTTTTTTTTTTTGTTATTCTGTCTCTCACTGTTAAAATACACCTACCATTAAAATTATAGACTGATCATTTCTTTGTCAGTGGGCAAACGTTCAAAATCAGCAGGGGATCAAATACTTTTTTTTCCTCACTGCATATTAGTTTGGATGGATATTTCTCCTCCGCTCCCCCATTTTTTCTCCTCGCTCGCCTTTTTTTTATTTGTAATATTTTGCTATATTATTGTTATTGTTATTATAAAAAAATTAAATTGTTCAA